AGAGATGATGGATGGATGGTTCATGTTTCACTGAAGTTCTGCAGATCTGTGGAACCAGAACCACGTGAAGAAGGAGAGAGAGCTCAGAGACGTCTTCTGTCAGCAGGACTCAGAACGACACGAATAAAAAGAAAAAACATTTGTTTAAATTTTTATGCTACAAAAGTAAAAAACCTGGAATCAGCACATCCCACATGTCTGCAGGTGCGTCTGCAGGTGCGTCTGCAGGTGGACAAAGTGGCTGCAAATAGTACATTTTTGCAGAATATGTAGTTGAGACCTGTAGAACAACGAGGTTCTGATATTTTCCAGACATGTCACAGTGAGTGATGCCGGATTAGTTGATGGTTCTGTCCGTGTTTACGTTGTGTTTTCTGTTGCGTTCAGGTCGCTGTGAGCCTAAAGGAGCTCTGACCGGCAGCAACGCTGGAATCACCAGCATCGAGTTCGACAGCGCTGTGAGTGTTCAGACCATCAGCCTGCAGCTCACCTGCTTCACCTGCTACACCCTCTGAGTTCTGCTGTTTCTGTTCCAGGGCTCGTACCTGCTGGCCGCCTCCAACGACTTCGCCAGTCGGATCTGGACTGTAGACGATTACCGACTGAGGGTGAGTCTGACCGTCCAGACAGAAGCCTTTAATCCAGCTGACTTCTGCACGCCGTCTTTATGCAGAAACAGATTAAATCATCAGCAGATGGATCGACGTCAAGTCAGATTTATACACAGGAACAAATGTTTGCATGTTCAACGGAGCAGTGTGGAGTTCTGTCAACCTGTCACACGTCGACGGAGCAGCTGCTGTGGATGTCAGAAATGTGCTGAACATTTCATAAAGTTGTTCCAATTTAAAGAACTTTGACGGATTAATCATGAACGTTTCTCAGTTCAGGAGATCACCTGATGATGGTAGATGATCAGTAATCATCGGTCACCTGTCTACCGGTCGGTAAACCAGCCGTCAGGTATCTGGTCAGTGATGTGAAGTAAAAGGTCTGAACCTCAGGCTCCGCCCGCCGCCCCTCTGGCTCCCAGCAGCCCTGCTCTCTGCTCCCATCATGCTCTAGTGGTGCAGTGGTGGTCCAGCAGCTGCTGACAGACAGGATGTGACATCACAGCGGGAGTCTGTGCTCAGACCCTGCAGGGTCCCTGTGATGACAGACATCCAACAGAACCAATCAGCACGGAGCGCCAGGTGGAGGGGGCGGGGCCTGAGTGGTGATCTCACTGTTCTACTGAGACCAGGGTCATGTGACTGAGGTCATGTGACTGAGTTTAACAGGACCGTCTGTTTCGTCGCAGCAGAAAAACCTTTGGTTCATGAACTCCTGTGGTTCCTCTGAGTCTCTGCAGCAGCTTCATGCTCTGGTTGGCTTTCATCCGATTCAGGCTCCTCCCCCGTTAGGTCTGATCACGTGACACCAGAGAGACATGAGTCGGATCTGAAAGTTCAGTCTGTTTTGTAGAAACCCAAACCTGGCTGAATTGTGACCCTGTTGAAGTGTTGCTCTGCTCCCAGTGCTCCTGAAGTCCTGCTCGGGTCGCGGGTCTCAGTCTGAGGACGTACACCCGCTCCAGTCACATGGTTCCCTCAGCTTCCTGTGAATGTACGCAGCAGCACGACACTGTGTTGTCTGTGTGTGTCTGTTGTGTAACTCTGTGTGTGTCTGTTGTGTAACTCTGTGTGTGTCTGTTGTGTAACACTGTGTGTGTGTGTGTGTGTTGCAGCACACCCTGACGGGTCACAGTGGGAAGGTTCTGTCGGCTCGCTTCCTATTGGACAACGCTCGGATCGTCTCCGGGAGCTACGACCGAACGCTCAAACTGTGGGACCTGCGCAGCAAAGTCTGTACGTGATTGGATGATTTCTCACAGTTTTCCATAGCAACCAGGTGTGACAGAGCAGCTGTCAGTTACCTGCTTCATTCAGTTTAACGTGAAGACGAACCTGCAGCTGATGCAGTGAGCTCACCTGTCTCTCACCTGTCTCT